AGGAGAAAGCATGGCCGATGTGTAGCAGGCCATTCCTCGTCAAGCCCGCATTAAGGCCAGAAGAAGAGGCGAATGCTCCATAAAGCTCAGCAATACAGCCGAGACTCATGTACGGATATGGGAAAGTACACATGAACTTCTCGCTGGTGCTGTCAGGAGCATTGCAATCGAAGATCTGCCAGCATGTATGCAGTCAGGATTTCACGGAGTTTCCCATGATCCGAACAACAGTTCATGTATCAAGAAATCCAGAAAGCAAGCTGCGCATGAAGCGCAGCAGACGGGAAACATGGCCTTCTGCTTCTCCCACTTCTTCTGCACATCAGCTTCAATCTGCTGGAGCAGGTCTCTCCTGCACAACACCCGGCCACCTGCTGACCGTGACGGCGCATGAACAGCGCAATGTTGAGATCTACCACGACACCCTGGATCCAATCCTCGCCGTGCTCTGCTTGCCGTCTGTCGCCATACGCTTGCAAGTCCTCACAGAAACTCTGGCTCAGATTGCGCTTCCAAGATCCAGGTTCTCCTCGCCTCGCCGGTGCTGTACACCGCACGCGTGAGATGGGCAACCTCTCTAGGAGGCAGCTGGCAGCAGAGCCGCGCTTCCAGTTTGAGGACCCGACACTCTGCGGCCCAGCAAGGGGACTGCAGACCGCATCAAGGCCCGGGGCCGTCAAAACTTCGGACCACGAATGCGAACGCGAAAAGGCTGTTCGGCCTAACTGAGGCGTTGCCCTTCCACCTGCTCTTTTCATGTGCTCGTGCAGAACTCGCAACTGCGGGCACTATCGAACCGCAAGGTGGGTCCAACCTATTGATGGGCACACCTCTGCCGCAAGTTTCGCTCAGACACGTGCCAACAACTAGGATGCATTGACATCCACACCAATTAAGGGCCCGTCTTGGGTCCGCAAACATTTCTGTTTCGGGAGCAGTGCCACGCACAAGCAGCATTGGGGTTCTTTCAATACCCATAGTTGTATTCCTTAGGTCTGAATCGGGCAGCGTTGTTCCGTGATGCGCACACGAGGGGTCGACGTTCTTCTTGCAGACAATGCTCTGCACGGTTGTGCATCACGAGGCGCCCGTCGACAAAGTAGAAGCCTCAGAAAACGTACATGAAGCTTGTGGGGGAATCAGGTTGATCAAGCGATTCTATCACACCACATCGCTTCCTTGTTCCAGACAAGTAGAAGCCTCTCCTCCCTTTGGTCCGCTATGGTCCGCTGAGGTGCTATCAGATCGAACTTCCCAGGGGCTACTGATCAGTGCTTCCTGCAACCGGACACAAACAGAGACACTGAACTGTGCTTCCACGCTGTCCCGGCACCTTCCACTCGTCACTGAGCTCCGGTTTGGTATAAATCATCTCCCAAGTATTCCTCTACAGCAAAAGCGGTCAACAAGAGCGATTGTGTTGACACGAAGCCCAGCATCCTGGTGTTCGGGATTACGAAGGGCATCGTGAAGTCATAGCCTTGAAATCTGCCAACCAGATGCCTACCCTGGAATGTCGCAACGGCAAATCGGCTCGCTTCAATTGCCGTTTTGCAGCTAGTAATCAGCTGATCACGAAAGTAATGTCGCTCGATCATTCGGAAGTTTTGCACCTCATAGTCACCTTAGGGTCTGCCGACCGCACGTAGACGTAGACAGCGAGGAAGCAAGGGATGTGCAGGCAGGCGACCATTGGTGAACTCAAGAGTTGTACCAATCGTTTGGATGTCGAGGAACCTTGCCGACTTGGTGGTCTTCTCTTGCTCTTCGGTTTGGCGAACTGCGCTTCCCGTGCTCTTCCACCGAACCAGGACCAGTGTCGTGTGCTACCTTTTGATCCAAGCATCTGGGGACCAAAATGGTACCGGATAAATCGGCCGGTGTTCTGCACATGGTGGGGGTAACAAGGAAATACCAACGCAAGCGTGAGTGTGCCTCGCTGAGCTCTGGTGGAATCGGAGACGGACGGTCGCCAGCACCAAGATCAAAAAGCACCTCACAGCTCTCCTACCTGTAGCAAGTGGCATCGGTGCTAGCGACGATTAGTGCCGATCGAGGCAGTGACCCCTTCGTTGCCCTCGTCCAACGACCGGATTCTGAAATCAACCTTGCGACGATGAGGAACAGCCCCATGCATGTATGCTTCAGTCCGTCCGAGATGCCCCAAATCATTTCAGGGATGCATCCAAAATTTGTGGTTTCCGCATTTGCGAATGGAGAGAAAGCTTGGGAAGTCTGTCTGCGGCAAGCTTCCCGATGCAGATTTGGTTGGGGTTTTACTCCACTGAAAGACACGTCCAATGTGCGGCTTGACGGGCGAGTCTTGAACAAACAAGATGCAGATTTCCGGAATGGTGCAATGTTGCCGAGTTACAAACTGAAGGTTGTAGATGTTGTGCTCCCTTAGCGCCGATCGCCGGGATCTTGCAACTTGACGCTCAAAATGGCACCATGTCGAGTCTAGTCAGGTCAAGAGCCAAGACTCAAATCACATAGGTAGCTTTCTGTCGGAGCAGTAAGCAGGTTCACGTACTCTGGCGTGACCTCGTACATCCTCGCGCCAGAGGCGGCCAAGACAGGCAGGGCACCCCCGCTTCTGGGCCTCGCCACTGTTTTGGGGCCCCGGGCTCTGCGTGGGTCTCGGCCGCCTCTTCGTGCCATTCGCTAGGTAGGTCGACCTCCCAAAGAGAACCCCTGCTGCAAGCCACCCTTGGCAAGCTAAGCTTCTGCTGTTTTCCGAGTGGCCATAGCCATTTCCAACGCCTGAAATGAAAGCTCATCAGCTTCAGGCTGTACGGCACCGATGCACAAAAGCTGCTGCCCAGTCTCTGCGACAAGAAGCACAGAAGGAGCTTCGGCTTTTTGCGGAAAACAGCTGCGGTTAGCTAGCTTCAATGACAACTTCTGAGGTGCGTGCACGGACCATGTGAATTTCAAAGCCAGGAGCAACGACAACCAACATCCATCCGCTTTGTCATGAATATGCGTTGCGAGTCTCGTTAGCAGCTGTCTCTCCAACTGCTTCATGGGACTTGCGCCCTGCATCTCGACAAGGCAGAGTTGTTGCCACCTCGGCACAGAGAGAGGGACTTGGCTGAAGTTGCTATAAGCGCTCATGTGTGCGACCGGTCCGCCGTTCTCAAAGTTTTTGCATACTTTGCATTTCTGGAGCGGAGGCATTGGCAAGTTGCAGCCAGCAATAATCCATGAGTAACCTATGAGTGTACGGGAATTACTCCGTCACGTAGTCCTTTCACGTTGATGGCTGGTAGTTGACTGGCTATAGCAAAGGCTCCAACCTTGCGACACTTCACTGCAAGAGTCATTGTACACGAATTAGGATTCAGCCGGCAGTCCGTTTCGCTGCTCAGTCAGCACCAGACCCGGCTCCGAACGCCTGCTCTGAAAGCATTTGAAAGCTCCATAGGCACCAGGCTTCCTGCGCACCTTCAGCCGAAGGGCCTCTGTGGAAGCACCAATCGTGGCGTAAGCATTTGCGGAGGCGTGAAGCAAGGTCCTGCAACATACCCGTTCGCTGGAGAGCATCCATATGCATCGACTTCGCGAACCACAGCTGCTGGCACAAGTTGTGGCTGGAGCATACCTGGCATGTGCCGAACCCTTGGGGGTGTGGTGTCTTGTGGATGTGCTAGATATGCTGCTCCACAGACTGCAGGTGTCCGTCCTGGTGCCGCAGTCGCCGACAGAGAACGGCGTGTACTGCCAGGATCTTCGAGCTCCCTGGCTGTCGGCCCCGAACCTGGACCGCATCTGATGCAGAGCCGGGAATCAGGCATCGCCGCGGAGCCGCGCGTGGAGCAGCTGTCAGGTGGTTCCGCTCGGCTGACGCAAGGTCCGGTGGAAGGAGTTGGAGGCATTCGAGGCACAGCAGGCACGGCATTCATGGTGCTCTTTTCCGGGGGCGTGGCGGACAGCCGGTGCTGCGGGATGGCCGCTGACAAGTAGAGCGGAGCCGATCCACGTGCAGAGAGACCAGAGCAAGACGAGGGCGCTGGACTCGGAGGAACATGACCCAGACCCTTGATGTGTCTTTCCAAGGCTTTCGCTCGGGACTCCCACGACTGGCCGAAAGACGTCGCTTGCTGTAGCCGCTTCGTCAGGACATCCACCTCATCTTTGATGCGAATCTCAAGCCGTGAGATCCGATCCTCGAGCAGACTCATGTCACCGCTTCGCACCATGTCATCCTCCCCTGGTTTTACGATCCTGTAATTCATGCGTTTGGAGCCATCCAAGGCAGCCTCACATGCTTGCAGCCGCTGGTCCATGGAGTGCAGGAAGGAGGGTGGACGGGCGTCCCGCGCTCGGCAGGCATCTGCTGAGACAGGCTCCGCAACGGAGATGCTGACAGAACGCCTTGGGCTTGCAGATAGTGCCCGCGATTCGGCCCGTCCACGAATATCTCGTATCTCAGCCGACACGCTCTTGGCACCATCGCCCTCCTTGAAGTCTAAGGCACGGCTTATTGGCAGCTGTGCCCGCGAGCCACTGCCACCTGCCTTCAGCAACCTGAGATGCCGAAGCGCAACAGGGATTGGCCGCGAACTGCCGTCGAAAAGCACATCGCAATTGAGGGCCTCCTTGTCGACCTGCAGCACTCGACCTTGATCTCCTGCGCCGAACGACGGAAAGTGCCGACCGTTCAGGACCACCACACGGCTACCTTCGTCGATGCCCTCCCCAGGCTTGCTTTCTGAGTCGTCAGAACGATCCCGCATTGTGCGGCGGGACAAGAGGACCATGCCCTAGCACATGCCGGGTTTTCAATGTTGGGACAAGTGAAGATTTCCCACCTGGTAATGTTGTTTTCTCGCACAGAAACATCAACAGAACATACATGACGAGCCTCTCAGCTACATGACGCGGTATGCGCACACTAACATTGTGTTGAATCGCCACATGCTGTCGTAGTAGACTCTTGCTTAATGCATGCCGACTGCCTGTCGACCAAGTCCGACAATCTTCAAACCCTATTCTGACATGGCATCTGCTGGGCATGGCAGAAATGCATTGAGCAGGCCAGGCTGGCTCAGCGATGCTTGGCACAAGCACTCGTTGCTGTGCATGTTGTGCCAGGTAGCCGGTGCCAAGAGCACCCAAAGGGCATACCTCAAAGAACACATTCACTTCGCAGCAGACTGCAAGGAGCCTTGTTTTGGCCTTGTGTTGCTGCTGCGTCACAGAGCAACGATGAGCCATTCGGCGACGCTTTCCAAGGACAAACACCAACCTCGTTTTGGAGAAGTGAGGGAACCAAAAAACCGTCATGCATCAGGAAAAAACAAAGAAATGATCTTTCAAGAAGAATCCTGTGTTTTCTTTCGGGCTATTGGAGCACCATCCGAGTACCCGGACACGTGCCTGGCAGTAGTGGGTTTTCTTTGCCTCTAGTAGCAGCAGTAGTAGTACTAGTAGTACTAGTAGTACTAGTAGTACTCGTACTAGTAGTAGTAGTAGTAGTAGTAGTAGTAGTAGTAGTAGTAGCCGCCACAAGTGCTCAAGCGGCCGCGCTGAATGAGAGGTTTCGAACAGGCTTGGGGCGCAACTGCTGTGCTAGAGGTTCCAACCGGGCCCTTTTCTGAACAGTAAAGGTTTGTGCCTCCTTCTACGCCATGGTCCTCTCCCTTTTCTCACAGGAGCTGCTTTGAGCCGCCAGGTCCCAATTCCTGGGCCCAGACTCTGTTTAAAACATTGCAACACTGGGTAGGCGGTAGGGTTTCCACCTCCGCGCGGTGGAGGGAGTCATTAGGCTTCTGTCTCTTGACGAAAGTAGCGGATGGCGCAATTGCCAGTGCACTCACAAAACTTTGCATCTCTTCGTAAGAATTCGTTCAAGACAGCATGTAGAAGGACAGTCCGTAGTGACGGGCCCGTACCATACCGAGGGCAGGTTCTGACACCTACCCTGGTTGATCGTCTGGGGGTGCGCCCCCCACCCACTCGAAGAGAGCTTCAGTCACAGACTGCTGACTCCCCTGCATATGGCACAGCCTCCCGCAGGGCAGGAAGGTTGGAAAGATCCATTCGAGTTCTTTCGTGGAACGCGGGCCACCTAGGCCAACAGCAATGGGGCGAACTCAAAACATGGCTGGCAGCTGAAGCCTCTCATCACTGCGACATCCTCATATTGCAGGAAACGCACTGGACTGAGACCAGCGAATTCAGCGTTTCTGGGTGGTACTGTATCTCCTCAGCCTCGGAGTCTACCAAACCCAACACCCGGCCTAAACAAGCAGCAAAGCGAAACACTCGGCAAGAACCGCGAGCCCCATCCACGACTCGCGCTGATGGAGTCATGATCCTATTCTCTCCCAAGTTCGTCCCCAAGAGCTTACGCTGGAAGGAGTGGAGCCCGGGTAGAGTCTTAGAAGCTCGCGCGGACATTGCAGGTACTCGGCTGGTTGTTGTCGCGGTGTACCAACACGCTTGGTCTTCTGCCAAGACCATCCAGTCCAATAAGGACGACCGTGCTAAGGTGCTATCTGTCATGTCCAAGGTGATCAAGCAGGTGCCTAAGAGGGACTCCCTTATTGTAGCAGGTGATTTTAACACTTCCTTGCGTCCGCGCTCTCCATTGGTGGGACCGCACGTGAAGCCACCTACTGAGGACCGCCCTGATGAATTCAACTTGTTTAACCTGCTGCTCAGGTTGCGTTTGGTTGCCCTCAACACCTGGCAATGTGACCATATAGCTACCTTCTCACAAGGAGGAGTGGAGTCGCAAATTGACTTCATTCTCACCAAAGAATCTACGGCGGGAGGCAAAGCAAAAAGGTCAGCCCCCTGGGTGGACTGCCCGTTGGGAAGCTGGAAGAAAGGGGGGCATTACCCGCTTAAAGCTGACGTACCCCTCCAGCATCACTGGCTGCTCCCATCCCACAAACCCAGCACGCGCCGTTACGATTCACTAGCTTTACAGGCCTCGGTCAGAGAGGAAGACGAGACGGCAAAGGCACTGCACAGCTGGATAGCTTCCAGAATTGACACCTGCCAGGACCCCAAGGCATGGAATGCGTTGCTTTTGGAAGGTGCAGAACGCTTTTTCCCAAAATTCCCAAAAGAATACCGATTCTGCTGGAATCGGAAACCCGTCGCATGTGGCGGGCCCGCACCCATGACAGGGCTGCGAATACTCCCTCAGCACAGCTGATCGAGTCACCTAAAGCAATGGCACAGCCTCCTAATCGGAACACGCCACGTCCGCCGGAAACAGAAGCTGAGCTGGCACAAGTGGCACATCGCCAAGCTGTGAAACAAGCAAAGAAAGATCGAATTGCAAGTTTCATATCGGAGGTAGATGCGAGTCTAGCTGAAGGTGATCAACATATCTCCTTCCAGACCCTCAAAAAGCTGCAGCCTTGGCAGCCCGCGCGCAGAGCTCAGCTAAAGGACAACACAGGACATCTCCTAGGCCCAGCGCAGGAACTAGCAGCCCTCAGGGATTATGCCAATCAGGTATTTGCGGCCCACCCTCCGTTACGGACCATGCATGGTGCTTTCCCTGCTTTGGAGCCACCCAAACTAGCAGCTCACATACATTCCATCAAGCCGAACAAAGCTGTTCCTGACGGAGCGGCACCAGCGGCTGTATGGAGGCTGTGTAGCGATCTCGTTGCACCGGTCCTCTCCGAACACGTAGCATCCAAGCAGGCCGAGGACAGTCTAGAATCCGACCTGGTAGACGCAGATCTCTGTTTAATACCCAAGCCGGGCAAGCCCTCTGATAAACCAGCAAACTTGAGACCCTTGGGTATCCTTCGACCTGACGCTAAGGGACTGGCGGGAGCGGCCAGAGAAGCGCTTCAACCACTGACCCTCTCGTTCCTCAAGCACATGCCACAGTTCGCTTATCTACCAGGTCGGGGGCTGTCAGACGCACTAGAACGCGTGGTGCATCACTTGCGTGAGGCACGATCCCTGTTAGAACAGGCCCACCCCTCGAGACATGCCTTGCAACAAGGCACACAGGCCCCAGCCTTAGTCGGCGGCCTCACCTTTGCTCTCGA